GGAAAACAGATTCAAGAGGTATCTGAGAGAAATCAATAGAACTTGGTAGCTATCATTGATTAATGAGTATGAGGTTGAGATGAAGAAGTCAGGAAGAAGCCAAAGGTTTGGATTTGGAAAGTAAGTGTGTGGTGCTACCATTCAAGAAGAAAAAACCATATTGGAATAAAAACCTCAAGATGTGTATGCATACACACTGTTGGGGGGACATTGTTGGATTCAACTTTAGATATGCAGAGTTTGAGATGTTTGTGAAGTATTAGGATATTCTGGCCAGACCCAACCCAATTATTTTTACTCTTAAAAAAAAAACCCACAAGAGGAATATTAACTTTCTCTTATTATTTGCAACAAAGGAAAGGCTAATAATGGTATGTGGTGAATCTACTATTAAAATGAAGTGGCTTCCAGAAAGCCACTGGTCCTGCTCTCTTTGTGCAGTAGTACAGTGTGCTTTGTTTTATTTTGTTTCTGAGTAAACATACTTGCTGATTTTAACCCAGTACTATATCTAGGTAACATTGTCATTATTCTGTATTATGTAAGTCTTTATTTTGAAGTCACAGAACCTGCAATTAAGGCTTGGGAAACAAGGATATTAAAACCACTCCCACACCCTCCAGACACCTGTAAAGCCAAAGATGCAGGTCTGAGCTCCCACCTCTTTTCTTTTTTTTTCTCCTGCTTCACCAAAATCTTAAGCAATAAAACAAAACAAAACCCAGAACAACAGGAAATAAAAACAAAATAACCAAAAGGAAAACTTGGAATAGAAGAAAGTGCAGGGTAGAGGACTGGAGAGTGTACTTGGGTAATGCTAGCTGGGTTCTAGAAATGTCTGAGATACTGGTGGAACATTCATGTAGATATCTAGCAAGTAATGTTTTTAGCTTTTTCTTTGCTATTTATCTTTAAATTACTATGGAAAGCAATTAGAGATTCACAAAAATTTATTATTTTTCTCTGCCTTCCTCTAATCCAAACTTTAAAGGCGTGCACGATAAGCTATCTGATCTAAGTCTTATCTTAAGGTCTGCTCTTAGAGAATCCAAACTAGAACAATTAGGAGATCCCATTGCTCAGTAATAAAGTTCCCAACTAGAAATAAGAACCTCCAGTTCTTTTATCCTGATGATACTATTAGACACTATTCTTATTTGTTTGTATTTATTAACTCATTCAACACATTTAGTGACAGATGCTGTACATAACATGATAAAAAGAGTTGGCATCTTTGTCTTCTTTAGATGTGCATTTCAGTAAGATAACCCAGTGATAAATAATAAATATTTCCAAATCTTAATTTTTGTCATTTTCCAGTACATTGACATATACAAGCAGATATTTTTCCTACACTGCAACTATCCATACATTAGTTCCTTCCTCTGAGGCTCTGAATGGCTCCTCCCCAAATTCAACTCAACCAGTTAAACTTGAATTTCTTGCCTGGGACTTAACACTCTTCAGACTTGACCTCAAAATAATTTTCTACACACCCCAAACACAGCCTACTTTCCTTAATCAAGAAATCACCTCTATCTACACCAATATGTAAGTGTCAAATGCCATGGAGGATGTGCACAAGAGAAATTCAACACATGAAGAGTATTCTTCTGGTTGGGGTGTTTAGGGCAATTTTTCTGCAGTATAAGGACAATGTTGATAAATTTCATTTTTTACCAGTCTTTTCAAAACTCTAGAAGCTATTGATATTTTATAACTTTTTAAACCTAATCTATTTCATGCTTCAGTTCAGAAGCAAAAACAATTGTTCCTCTTGTTACAATGTATGAAGGACTTTGTATAAAGCCATTCTAGTCTCAGAGCACATAGTTATTATGTGACAACATTGTATCTCATAAGTAATCTGACCTGGAAGATTGAATTTATGCACTGGAGTGATTTAACAACTGCTTCTTGCACCATCTCAAAGGTTCAGGAGACACAGGGTTACAACATCATTCTCTTTTATCAGAGGTTAGAATCCATGCAAACATGCTATACAAGTTTTTATCTCAGGTCTTATGTACTCAAGACCCCATCTTTAAACAAAACAGCGTTCCTGGGCAGTTTGGAAAAGAATATGGTATAAAAGGTATAAATTTGGTTGATTGTGGATAAAGTGATATCACACAAGCATTTATGTGTAGATGTCCCATGCACTTTGAAGACACAAAAAGGGTAAAAAACATGATCTTGTTTTTGAATAGCTGGCATTCTAACCAGAGAAGCAACACATACAAATTTGAAACTAGAAAACCATTTCAAAGCTACTTGCAAAATATTTTGTGAATATAGCACAAATTTTACAATATATAGTGGTATTTTCAGAAAATAAATTTAGCTTAATCCTAAATCTTTGTTTCTTCACTCCCACCCCCTATTCTTTTTTCTCTATGCCAGACTGGAAGAATGAGGTTACTCTTTCTGGACCAGATAAGAGATAACAGAACAGGGGAGACCAAAATATCAGCAGTTGAGAGGAAGAATGTAAACAGCAAAATGAGGATATGCCACTTTGTAAGGACAATAGTGGGAAATAAAAGAAATAATTTAATGCACTGCAGTTCCCTAAACTATTTCAGATCAAGCAGAAGCTTTGAAAAGATACTTATAATTTGGATTAGTAAAATATAATGAATATTATTATAAAGGCAAAAAGCAATATCAGCTTTGTCCCATAACTATGCATTGGAAGAGCAGAAAGCTTGAATGTTCTATTTTTGGTGCACACCGTAAATCAGCTTTGTTTATAACAGTTGTATAGTATATTAACCCTGTAAAGTAAATTTCCTCTGTTTACAGAAAGTAAACAAAAACCTTTATTTTTAAAACTGTGTGTTGCTCATAAGGAATTTATTATAATTGTGGACAAGACTAGAAAAAAATAATTTTAGAGATATCTTTTTATCATTAACCAAAAGGTTGATAACACTAATTCAACACCAAAATAATATAAAAATCATCCTTATAGATTGTTAGTGATATTTCTTACTCCTTTCATGATTTACATAAATATCTGCAAGCTTGCTTAAAACCAGTTTTAGAAAGTAAAAAGAGATTCCAGAGATCTGGATTTCTTTGTTATTAAAATGAAGGGTTCACTTAAATTGTCAGTAAAGTTATATCCATTTCCCAATTATTGTTGGTTTCCACAGAAAGTAGGAGAATCCTGCTCTTTCACAGTCTGACACAGGAATCAAGAAGCAACACATAAAAAAATAAAATAAAATAAACAGATGAAGGGCACTCAATTCATTGATAATCTACTCAAAAAAGTGAAATGATGCAATTGTGAGTAGAAAGAAATGAATCTGGAAAGCCAATGTCCAAATGTCTACATCAATGTCTGTAATCAGCTGTGTATCTCTCCCAACCATCCATCTCTTGTGCTGGCTTAGTTAAGTATGTGCAAAATAGAAAAGTTTAACTTAGCTTCCCAGAACTGTTGGACAAAACTCTTTCCTGGTGACTCACAATCACCTTTCCTAGGATTCCTTTCCTTATATATTTGCACATTGTGTGGCTTTCTGGTAAATGACAAAAAAAAAAAAAATTGCTATTGCATAGATCTTGATCTTTACAATTTCAAAAATCTATTTTACTAAGCTATTTGAAGTAGATACAAAGTTATTAACAATAAAGCTTGAGGGATGGGGATGTGGCTCAAGCAGTAACGCGCTTGCCTGGCATGTGCGGGGCGCTGGGTTCGATCCTCAGCACCACATAAAATTTAAAAAAGATGTTGTGTCCACCGAAAACTGAAAAATAAACATTAAAAAAGTTCTCTCTAGAAAAATAAAAAATCAAGCTTGAGATAAGAGATGCAAAAGGAACAGACACCAAATGCATGATGATAGTTAAGAGCATTTAAAAAAAAAAGTGGGGACATGATTTTCATTTTAGGATTAACCTGGAAATTGTTCTTATCAGTAAGTGATCTCATCAATTGGAACTCCTTTTGGTTGGTTTTTGTTTTGTTTCATTGTGCTAACACTATCCCAGTCATCTGGCCTAAAAATGCCAATCATACTTAGTTTCTCTATGTCACTTACACAATATCATGTCAGGATTTTTTTTCCATTGTATTATATTAAATCTTCCATTTTCCCTGTCCTTCTACCTGAGTATAGGCCTTGAAACTGTTCTTCATGCCTGAACCATTTGTCAGCAACCACCTGTCTCCTCTCTGCTCACTGTCCATGGCATTCAAATTTCACCATGTTACACTGTTTCCTGAGACCTCTACTTTGCATGTAACAATGTATGAACTTTAAATTTAGGCTTGTTCTGGAAGTTGTTGTTCTTATCAATAAGTGATCAATAATATCAGCACTACAAAACTCAAGAGACAAAAGAGTCAAAACTGATGGCAGACTGGGAGAATCTACAAGAAGCTCTACATTCCTGAAGCTATATAGAATTGACTAAAGATTACACTGTAGTGTAATTGGAGAATAGTGGCACCTTTTAATGAGGATTGAGCTTTAAGTGACTCTATAAATTATAAGATTACAGAGTCTACGTATTTCTGATTAACTATATTAATAAAAGGAAGTACCACCCCAGGCACTATTAATGTAATTCAAGTACAAACTGGCACATGGAGGAAAAGGCTGTACAGGAACGAGTTCAGGAAGACAGATATGAAACAACATTGACCATGCCAGCAACAATTTCAGCAGAGTAAAAATTATCACTGATTCTTCAGTGAAAAGAGATGTAAAATTATTATCAGAAGTTTATTTTAAAAATAGACATATAAATCACATGCTGTTTATATTTCCCTGTGAGCACAGTCAATTTTAGATGCTGCTTTTATTGCCAGTATGTAGTATTGAGATACCTGTTTTAAAGTATCATCATCTCAACTAAAAATTGCAATCAATACTCTGCTACCCAAAATATACACCAGGCAAACAGCAGATAATGCAATTTTACCAAGGCTTATTCCTAGTTCCTTATGTAAATTTCAGATTATGTGTTTATATACACTAACTTCATTGATACTTAAAAGTATTGAGTAAAGTAGAATTTTTCATTTCATTTAGAGATGACACAAAGACTTCCAAAATGTTAACTGGCTTGCTCAAGACCAGTAACCATATTCCTGACTCTCTCACAATGCCTTATGAAGAGACTGGATTGGCCCCTCTAGAGGGAAAGCCATCACGTGGGTGCCAGGCATCAGGTCTCTGAGAACAGAAATGGTGCCAAAATAGGAAGAGCCTAGACCTTTCTCAAATTTGAGTTAAAGAAACCAAGATAAGTCAGTCCAACCAAAGAGTAGAAATAAGGAGGGGGAGTGGGGCGGGGAGAAGACGAAACTAAGGCTCAGGAAACCAACCAAACAGGAGCAGGCCCAATGTTCCCAGGCAATTGCTGTAAGAAGAGATCAAGTATGAATGGCTTTGGTGTCTTAAAGATGTAGAGATTTCTTTGGGGGAGAATATTAAAACATGAATAAGTTATAAAAGTAAGTAAGATTCAATGTCTAATCTGAATTTACACTTTCTATTTTTTCATTCTCTCATTCCAATATAGCTCAGGTTTAATCTATCTGTAGTTGTAGAAAGAAAGAGCTTTAGCTTTGAAGACATCCAAGTAAGGGTCCATTGAGTAATCATCCATCGTTACTCTTAAGAAATCTGGCCTTCAAATATTGACAGAACCTACTTGTTTAATTCCTATCTTAGCTTATTTCAGAGTCACAGTGTTTCTGTTATAAATTAAAGAATTCTTAGGAATTAAAAACGTCATCATTTTTGTCTATTGGGTTGGTTTTAGAAACCAGTATTTCTAGAGAAACAAAATTAGACAGAATGGCTTTCTAGATCCATGTCAGTTTGGTTTTAATAAGGAGACTTTTATTAAAAATAATTCCTGAATACCTGACCTACCCATATTCAAGTATAAGTAGAAAATAAATCTATTTCCACACTTATTCAGGATGATGCTCAGGTTATTCACACTTGAGACATAATTACCTTTTCTATATTCTAGCAATAATTATAAGTGGGTTATAGTAAAATATAATTGAATGTCCATAAGCTAATATTATAATTGCTATGCTCTAAGGCTTCAGCAACCTCAAGTAATTCCTTAGGGCCTACAGACATGGACTAGCAGCAGGGCCATGATCTCTACAGTAGATAAGCAAGGTCTGGGTGGGAACCATCTGAATCTAATTTCACAACTCTTTCACAACTGTCATTTTTATAAGCCTCACATTTTATTTAAATGGAAAAAGTTACTGCATGGCTTTTGACTGTTAAGTGATTTTGGAAGTGCCCATAAATCTTTATGAAATCCAATTTGTTTCCAGCTTGTTAATAGTTTAAAGAATGGGTAAAAAGGGTTTTCATAGCTCCATAGAAAAAAAAATTCATGGAATCAAATTAAATTTTGGTGGCTTAAATGAAATGAATATTTGTTATGAGATCCATGATGGTATTGACAATAGATAGTGCCAATGGGTAGTTTTGCATTTTTGCAACTTTAAGTTCCCTAAATGGTATACAAAATAAAAGCCATACAGCAGAATGAGGATGGGGCAGGACTAAACTTTTCCCACTGTCCGGACTGCTTTTCTAAACCAGACTATCAAAAGGAGCAGGCATTTTTTAAGCCCTCAGAACTGTCTTTAGCAAAAAAAAAAAAAAACCCTCCCAGATTTCATAACCCTATTTGATAATCTTTCACAGACAGAAATCCCAAATGTGTTTTGACTCCAAAGAAGAGGAATGCCTTATTTTCCATGAAAGAACTCAGTTAAGAAGCCGAGAATATTGTTTGAAGTGAGATGATAGTCTGACTTGTAAACGACATCAAAAGGTCTCCTGTATGGGAATTGAACTGAAGAAACACTTCTCTGAGGGTAAGCCTTGGTATTTTATGTCCTTCTGTATTTGTAACTTAGATGCCTTTTAACAGATAAAATCTGGCCTCTCTTCTTCTGGAACCTCCCAGACCACTTATCAGTGCCTGAAACCTCAGGACTGATCTGTCACTTGGAGGATCCCCCATTGTAACAAGAATGGCTCTGATATCCTCCCATTTGCCTGTGCTGTGAGTGCTGTCCAGTCTACCAGAGGTATTTTATTTCTAAACTGCTTTGTCTCCATAAACACATTCTAGGCTTCAGCAAGTAAAGTACAGTTAAGTTCCATTTTCTTTGAATTTATCCATGCCTGTATGTTCATTCTTTCTCTCAGTGATTACCCACTGACACCCATCCTTTCCTGGGCACCATGCTTCATGCTATAAATGCAAACTATACAGGATCCTACACTCAAGGAAATTACTGCATATATACATGAAGTTCATGTAAAATGAACAAAAGTTACATTTAAAAAAAATGCAACATTCCATGTAGGAATAAAGAAAGCAGTGGTCAGTTATGGGAGCCAAAAGTTTTATCCAAGGGGAGAACCTTAAGTTGGATCTTTGAGCATGAATAGGTGCTTAACAGGTAAGCAGACATGGTGGAGCACTAAAGGGCATGAAATCTCATGGTACATTTAGAAAAGGGTATACATTTGGCATGGATCATGTATTTCTTGCATTAAATTATGGGTGGCAATTTAGTAACACCTTTAATTGAAAAACTGTAAAGAAGAGGAGCAGATATCCACGGAAAGATAGGTGGGGTTGATAGGCTTGAGTTTGAATTTTCCAGGAGGCATCCATGTGCATATGTTCCAGAAACAATAGTATTTACTGTCTGAGAACTCAGGAGGGAGGCATGTGCTAAAGATATTATTTTGGTAGCTCCACTAACATTTAGGTGGATGGGAGAAAACATGTGGAAGGAGAATTGAAGAGGACCAGGGAAAGAATCTGGAGAATCTGGAAGGACACCAAAGTTTGGCTCAGACAGAGGAAAAGCCACCCATAATTTGATACAAGAAAAACTCATTAGAAGTAAGAGAACCAAGGAAAAGTCTCTGAAAACTAAGAGTAGAGTCAGAATAAGAAAATGACTGCATGAAATATGTGATTAATAGGCTAAGCATAGTAGGAATTTAGTAATTAGGGGTTCTTTGAGGATATAAGCTATGTAAGGCCTAAAGTGTGTAGGGAAAATGAGCAAGAAATATGAGTCTTGGCAATGACCCTGTCTGCTCTGTCCAAGAGAGGGGCCGGAAGGAGGGCTCTCTCAGATCTCACAGGCTTATTCTCCGGACCAACATTAAAACCAAAAATAAGTCCTGGGAAAGGAAGTCTCCTCTCCATAAGGATTATTTCTCCATATAGCTGCTTTCCCCATTTCCTTATTCACCCTTTTCTGCCAGCAGATAAGACCAGCATGTCTCCTCTTCTTCTCCTATTACTACCAAATACCAAGCCCTCTCACCAATCCCCTCTCTACCAGCTTCAGTCATTTCTTAGATCCTTCTTGCTTCATCCTTAGATGACACCTGACTATGAACAGTTTCACTGCCCAAAATTCCTGCTACTCAGACTCTGAATTTTGGAAAAGATGATTCTTTAGAGGAGGTGATGGACGTAGGTATCTTGTTGTTAATTGAGATGATACCCATATTAAGGAGTATTTGATAAGGCAGGGAAGCAACAGAGTCAGCAAGACATGGGAAGGTCAAGTCATAGGCTCAATAGGGAAAGAATGAGGACAGCCAAGCAGATGGTGGTATTTGAACAGAACATGACAGCCCCTATAATCAGACTCTCAATCTTCCTGGTGCCACTGTCCCTGTGTCATGGTGCTGGGATGAGTAATCAGCATGTGATTGTGTTGCTTACATTTTAGGTAAAGGATGGAAAGGTCCATCTCTGAGAAGATCAGAAGGTCTGGAAATTTTAAGTGCGCTTCCAACACCCATGTGATCTATTGATACGTTTGAGAGCACTGAGAGCATGGTGAGTTTTGGACATACTTGGGGATTTTTGAGAAACTTGATTCAAATATATAGTAGAAACATTTCAAAGGGATGAACTAAAATCTTCTAATAAAGTGGGGATCTTGTTCTTGAGAACCCCACTGGACAAAGACATGGCTTTTTTTGCATTTTTGTTAATTGGCAAAACAGACTTGGAGCCAAGGCAGCTTTGCTGTCAACTAGGATGTAGAGTGACTGTTAAACACACACAAACCCACACACACACAACATGCTTTGTAAGCTAGTGTCCTTTTAAAGTGATTAAAAAGTAGATAAATTGTGGAATTAGTTATCTATCAACATTTGTATATAAGATTTGCACAAAAAATAGAACACAAGCATTGCACTCTAAACAGTATTTTTAGTTAGTTGTAGATCATAAATTTTAAATGGGTTCTGAGTAAAAGGGGGTGAGCTGAAATTTCAGGAATAGGTTCTTAGGAAAACCCACTGGGTACCACCAGGTAGAGTCAAAACAGTCCTCAGTGACAGCAAAACACCTAGAGGATGTCTTCTAAGTGTTTCTCAAACTTTACCATGTATATGAACCATTTGGAGATCTTATTGAAATGCAAACTCTGAGTAGGTCTGGGGTGGGGGCCATGATTTTGCATTTCTGACAGGTGCCTAGGTGATGCCCTACCTGGTAGGCTATGGATCACACTTGAAGAGTACAGTTTTAAGACAGCACTCTTAGTTGAGTTTCATTAGACAGTTACCCTAGTAAAGTATAAAGCCTATTGTCAGAAATACCAGAAAAAAAAATCTGAACTGAGCAGCTAAGTATAAATCATTCTTTTCTGTGGTTAAGAAATTAAATTAGACTATGTAATGAAAATCTATTTTGACATTTAGTTATAAGCCATAGTAATCTTTTTTTATGATGAGATAAAATTTCACAGTATGCCATCTTTTACTACCGGAATCAATGAATTGTTGGAAATCATGTCTCTCAGTCTGGATATTGTCGTGGTAAAATTTCTAGTGTGTTTCACACTTTTAAATTAAATTAAATGCGTCTTTTTTCTTAATACCACCAAACTAAACTATTTGTAGAAGACTTTTATCTGTTTCTTTCCTTCCTTCCTTCTTTTATTCCTTCCTTCCTTCCAGAAGGAGAAGGCTGAGGAGAAAAAGAAGAAGAAGGAGAGAAGGAGAAAAGGAGGTGACAGGAGGAGAGGGTAGCAGCTTCCATAGTAACTCAAGTTCATAATGAGTTTAATTAATAATAAAAGGGGAAAATACAGGAAGCAATTTTCTAGCTGTATCTTTACTAGGACTTTGATTTTTAAAAGCCCTCTAATTCTTGATAATGAATAAGATTTCTGATAATTCTAATCTTAACATCAAACGTTTACTTTGGTGGATTCTCCCAAGTAGTTGATCTTTTTTCATCACAGAAAGCTTTATCACCTAAATCTTTAGATGTTGGCAGCCTGCTGTGGACTCTCTAAGCACATCACTGATGCACCATGATTTTGAAGAATATTATTTGATTCTATAAAACCATTCCTTTGTCCAGTGTTACCATATAGTGTTCTGAAGAGGATAGTTCTGTGAACCAGGTTATTATTATTTTGCAAGTGGGAGTTCTGTGGTCATATAAGTTTGGAAAAATTTAGGTATCTGGGTTCTCTCTTGGACATCCATAGATCACATTAATATTTGAAAATTTCTGAAAATAAAAGTGCTGCACTCTATTTATCACAGCACTTCTCAAATTTGTTTGTCCACAGAGTACATTTGGGGGAATGTCTGCTTTTTTCACTTGTGGGAGACGGTAGCTTTTTCCAAATTGGTCAAGCTTTTGGTTTAGTGGTGAGATAGACAGAATGACTCCCCTCCTATCATCAGAAAAAGAAAACCTTTGCAAAAGTATCCCCAGCTGGCTTTCTCTGAGACATATTTTTGGACAATCAGGACATGCTGAGCTATATGGAATGCCAAGCAGGGGAATGGGTAAAAAGAGAAAGGGGAGTCAGGATGCAATTGGAGCAGAACCTTATCTGGTGGAGCTGATGCACCAGATAATATTGGAACAATGATAGAAGGAAAGAGGGAAAGGCTTCTGAGAAGCAACTCACAGTGCCTATAGACTTGCAAAATGAAGGAATCTACTGCTTTCACTACTTTGGTATGGCTTCAGTCATGAAATTAAATTTCTGCAAAACCAATTTTACTGATGCTTTCATTCTTGTCCCCTTTCATTCTTGTTCAGTCCTCCACACAGCTGCTGAGATGAACCATTTGAAAGCATAAGTCAAGTTAGGTTACTTCCATACCCAAGCCCTTCCAATGTCTTGCCATTTCATTTAGCATAACTTCCATCCCCTTTATTATGAGGAACAGGCTCTGTGGATTTTTGCAGCCACAACTCATGCCTTATTTGCTTTGTTCTAGGTCTGGTTTCTTTCTGTTCCTCCAAACTACCAAGCTTTTCTTTTCTTTTTCCTTTTTTTTTTAAACCTTGTGCTCTCAGCACTTTTCATTTTTTTTTGTCCAGAAATTTTGTTTCTTTAGATTTTCACATTATTTTCTCTTTATTCCCTGCACATGCCACTTCTTATAGACAACCTCTCTGATCAGGCTAAGGCACCTGCTTTCTTTTCATCATATGCTCATTTTTGTCAGATAGTTTTATACTTTCTTTTCTGTCACCTGCACTAAAATATTAAAACATGAGTTGGTCTCGTTTGGCTCTGGGCACAATGGGGCACACCTATAATCCCAGTAGCTCAGGAGGCTGAAGCAGGAGGATCATGAGTTTAAAGCAGCCTCAACAACTTAATGAGACCAAAGCAACTTAGTAATACCCTGTCTCTAAATAAAATATAAAAAAGGGATGGGATGTGGCTCATTGGTTAAGTCCCCTGGGTTCAATCCCTAGTGCCAAAAACAAACAAAAAATAAAACCTTATTGACATGTTCTATTTCATTTAAACCTGAAGATGAGACTGAATTCATCAAACATTGTCAAAACTAAATAAATTGCATTTATATAAAGCTTGATTTTAAAGTTCTATGCATTCAAACCTACTTGAGACTCTATCTAGGCCCTCTGCTGACACCAGTATCTATATCACTATCATGTTAGATATTGGAATTAGAGAGGGGTTTTTTAATCAATATAAATGATAGCACACTATAAAATATTAGAAAGGACCAATTCTTAAAGAATATCACAAATTCAAGTGGACAAAGAAATACCTCTTGATTAGACAGAGTCTAAGATGCCTTCCAGCTTCTGGGTTTTTGAATTCCAGTTTTCTTTCCACTTACTAAAAAGTGATACATCATTTAGCATTCAAATTCTATTTAAAGGAAACTTCCTTAGAAACACCCTCTAAGAAATTAAAATTCAACTCTAGATTATTCATACTTACCATAAAATTTTGTATGGGTTGTATATTGTTTTACATATAAAGAATCTAATTTTTTTATATGTAAGAACATGTTGAGTGTAGATGATATTATTAGATCTTAACACTTAGCCTGATTTCTGTTCTGTTTTTAAAGCTTATTGCTTATCTATCATACTTTGTCTATTATTCTATATATCAAATTCAAGGAACAAGATTTATATTAGAAGTTAGATTAAAAACGTGGAACTAATTAAAGACATTCAGTTTTAACTTATGGCCTTAGTCCCAGAAATTTTATATTAGCCATGTAAAGCCTTCTGAGCTACTAGAAAAATTGGATTCAAATTAAAATGAGAGGTTATTTTTCAAAATGCTTTGTAGTTTTGTCAGTGGCCTGATGAGAAATGTTCAAGTAAAATTTGCACCATTAATAATGCTTTATACGTAATCACTGTACTCTCAGGTTCAGATCTGTTTGTAGATTTTGCTACAGATTATCTTTTGGGGGAAGAGTTTAGAAAATATTTTTTTTTATTCCAAGGATGGGCACCTCCAGTCTTCTTTTAGATAGTAGACACAGAAATGTTTAATAAGCTGGAACTGGCTAAGAAGTGACTGTAGCAGGAGCTGCTGGCTGTTAACCAACAGTGATTCTCCATTATTCCCAGGTACTACAGGTACTACCACCACTCCATTACTCCCAGGTACTCATTTAACATTCAAATTCTATTTAAAGGAAAATTCCTTAGAAATACCCTCTAACAAATTAAAATTCAACTCTAAATTATTCATGCTTACCTGAAAATTTTGTATGAGTTGTATATTGTTTTACACATAAAGAATCCAAACTAATTTTTCTTATATGTAAGAACATTTTAAGTATAGATGATATTGTTAGATTTTATATGATCTAACAATTGATGATATTTCTAAAGAAGTTTCATTTAAATAGAATTTGAATATTAAATGATACCTGTGATACATGCCTCTTCCACTCCTAGGACTTAAAACATTGGGCATTTGTTCTTTGATGCTCTTGACCTCCTCCCCTGAACTGGAATAAATTCTATTTAAAGGAACTTCTTTTGAAAACATTCCTTATAGAGATAAGAAAAATAACCCAGATGATGATGGAAAAAGAAAATGGATAAGACTTGGATTTCTGAATGACCATGTGGAACACAGCAGCCTGCCTACTTGTTCTGGATTGATTTGTGGAATAGAAGTAAATCAATTTTAAAGCTACTCTATTGTTAAGACTCACTGGGATCACATTTTAGCAGCTTTGCCTTTTTATTAAATGACATTGGGCCTCTTCGGTAAACTCCTACTCCACTTTCACGTTCTCCTCCCATCCTGGTACCTGCTCATTCACTAGGCACCTGGGAAGCTACCTGAGTGAGTGTCTGTTCTGGATTCTTTTCCTTATGTTCTCTGCCTGTTTCTTTTCTTTTTTTTTTTTTTTTCCCAAGTCTCAAGTCTCAATACACTTATATTTAGCTATCTGGCTCTTTCAAATGGCTCCGATTAATTCAGTCTTTTTTTTTTTTTTTTTAAATGCTTAGAGACCACTTCTTCTCCTACAGGCCCTCATTTCCCCTGAGAGTGGTGACTTAATCTAAATGAATGGATTTTTTTTTTTTTTTTTTTTTTTATTGGCAGCTGAAGCCGAAGCCCACAGATCATGACACTATCTGTCCAATGTATTATATAAAGCTAGGCATCCTCTTCTGTATGAAAAAGAACCTTTTTCCTTTCAGATTCCCCGGCTAGAGCAGGGCTCAGTCTCCCCTAAAAGAGAAAGAATTTTTAAAAAAAAGAGAAACTAGGGTTTTCGGCTTTTTTATTTTTTCTTTGCCATTATTTCTCTGGTTTAATAGAAAGTATGAGATCATTCCAATTTTTAATCTGAAAAACATAGGCTTAATTTATCATTTCAAACAGTCATAAAGTAAATACCTATTGGTTCCTATCCACTATCTGTAAGTAAATTTAACTAAGGAGACTCTGCAACTTACCTTAGGTTTTATAGTTTTCCATTTTTTCATTTCAACAAATTTGAAGATGAACGTTTCTAAGTACTGCCTTAGATTTTTCAACTTAATCTGTCTTTGTGAGTTTGGAAATGAAAGAAATTGTAGATGGCTTGTTCAAAGAAAGTTCATTTTCCCTCAACCTCCTGACTTATAAACCAGAGAATAGCAGGTGCTCATTCCACAGGTCATCCTGCGTGAAGCACTCTAGAGCTTTCCACATCCCGATGCAGCTCTTTAGGGGGACATGAGGTAACTACTGGGTCATGGTCAACAAACAAAGAGGATTCAAAGAATAGAACACCAGTGCTTTTGTTACAATTTCAGTAGGTATTGTTTTGTGAAGCTTTAGTTACAGTTGTTTATGAATGTGAGTATGTGTGAATAGTTGTTCTTGATACAAAATGTCTTACTATTAAAAATAAAGTCTTGAAAAACTTTGCTTTAGTTCACCTCATTTTGGAAACAGGGTTGCTCCTCTTTGTGGGTAACTGCCCATTGTCTTAGCATCATTGAACCAAGTCTCCTGACTTAATCTCTAAGCCCTTTAATGTCATAGAATCATAAACTATACATTTATGTATCAGGGATTCAGGGCTAAAGCCTTCTTTTTACAAAATTACTGAATTCTCTCTGATTTTGTAAAAATAAATCCCCAAGTCTCAACACTGCCGCAGACTGCATAAGAACACTATGTTGACAAAGAAAAAGAAAATGTCCCCTCAATGTAAGTTTGTTCTTGGTCACTAAGTGAATTTAACACATGGATTAAACATGTGGCTCTCTAATTTTAAATCACCTTAATCATAGACAATCCCATGCTATAACTTTTTAAAGTACCAAACAGATCCTTCCTGGGAAAGGATAATACAATTTAACAGCTTAGAAGATAGGATTATTTATTTCAATAAAATAACTTTCTCAGCTTCAGGTTCGGGTCTGTTTGTAGATTCTGCTACAGATTATCTTTTGGGGGAAGAGTTTAGGAAATAATTTTTCTTTATTCTAAGTAAAAAAAAAATAGGTTTTATTTGTTGGAACTCAAATATCTTGAGTAAAATTATTTGCATATTACATTTAGGTTTTAGATTTCCATGCATAGTATTGTTCTTATTCCAGATGAAATTACTTATAGCTAGGTGCATTTATTTAATTGTTATACATATTAAAATGTATAAAACATTCACCAACACACTCAAAAACATAAATCAAAGGAAAGGAGAAACTCCTGACTGATTGCCTTAGTTAAAAATACTGACACACTAGTTTGTCTTATGAATGATCATATCCAGTAGCTGAACTAATAATCTGCATCCCTGTCTATTCTACAATGAGGAGAAAAATCTGAGCACAAACATGATTGAATTAACAGAGGAAAATATTTATAATGTTTGGAAAATTGATTTAACTTTTTAACTCTCAAATATTCTCTCTCTCTTTTTTTTTTTTTAGAAATCCATTCTCTGAGAATAACCTGTAAATTCATTCATTTGCTGAAAAGTAGCAATTTAAGATAAAATATCAAAACTTGAGTCTTAAGAATTGGTTAATTTAATTTATTCTAAAATCGCAATCTTAGTTCTTGAAATTGAGAGCTAATTACTGAGGATTTGAAAGTTTTATCGAACTGTTCTCCCTTTTCCCTATATAATACTATTGAAAAATGGTTCTCAAATAATGTATAAACTTTACATATTCACTAAAACTTCACCACAATATATATGAGTTGAAGACACTGAATAGGCACAAAAAGTATTTGAAATTTGCAAATATAAAAGAGTATATTTTTTCAGGCTCCTGTAATATAAAATTGATGATCTCTCACATAGGGCCTAGGGTGCATTTTATCTTTTCACATTACCTTTTGAGGGGATGGAAAGGAAGAGAGGGGGAAAAGCAAGGCTGGAGGGAAAGCAGCTTGTTAAGCAAATGAATGAGCACACTGGAGGAGGGCTGTTTTCAAGCACTGGATAAGTGTACAAACACTATAATTGTCACACAAACAAAGGCTTCCCTGCTTGCTCTGCCTGACCTTTGATATGGAAACCACAAATCCCTTCATCTTTTAATAAAACAGGATCTCTATAGACAGTAGCCCTTGGGGTCCTGCTAGGTTATAGAGTAAATACTTCTACTTTTTCACACACTACTTTCCTTCTAATAAATTTGGATCAGAGGAGGTTTTTAGTGCTTTGGCCTTCTTTACAAAGCACCAAGGAGATTTTTAGTGCATTGGCCTCCCCACCTGGTAGATCATTAAATCGGTGAGGGTTTGGTGGGTGGATAAGTGGAAGAAATTTCCAAGAATGTAGATTTTTTTTTCTTTCCCTAAAAACATTTCTTAAGTTTGCTTCTGAACTTTGAAAGACATTTTTTTGAGTTAGCATTTTCTTGTTATTTTAAGATGTAAACAGTGGTATATCCAGGAGCTGTCAGTTCAGTTGTGCTCAGTAATTTTGTGGTATTCTCGTATTCTCCAAAATAGATTCGAACAAAGCCAATTTACCCCCTTGGAAAGACTAGCCTTGGTGATCTGACAGCAGACTAAGTCCCAAGTATTCCAAGGCTCAAGAAACATCAATCATCAGCCCAAGGAACATATTTAGCAAACAAAAATTTTCTATTAAAAGACAGGTTTCAGTGTATCAATAAAGATCCTGCCAGGAAAAAACATGGCACACTCAAAATGGGTAATTGAAGAGAATTTGATCAAAGCACTATTTAAAGGTGTGAGGTCAGGGTTATAGGTAGCTAAAAAGGGGTGGTGAGACTCCAGTATCATCCCCAGATTCAAAGAGCAAGCAAGGAAGCAGTTACTGGTCCCAAAGAGAATGTTGACATCACTGCTGGACAGCTACCCAACAGGAGCAGTAACTACTGAGGAACCAAGCTGCCCCACATCCCAAGGTCGGCCAGAGGATAAAATCCCCGTGCCCTCCCCCAGTTCTTCTCCACTTGAAAATCTTCTGCCAGGGCCTCCCAATGGCTAAGATTCAACCAGAAGTCTAAAGATGGGGATGCATTTAAGATAGCCTGTGGAAGTTGGCCTCTTGACAGCCAGAGTAGAATGGAGGTGAAAGCAGGATGGGTCTGGAGGAGCAAAGACTGTCCAATACATTTGCATTTCCTAAAAGTTAAACTTGAGAGCATTTTGTAAAAGAAAATGCCCTGAATAAAAGCTTATGGAGGGCAGTGTCAAGTGTTTCTGAAGGGGTGCTTGTGACATCTTTTTAGTTTATCCATTAGTCCAATTTCTTAGAAAGGTAGGACATCACCATCCTAAAAATATAGAATATATTTTAATCCCTGAAAAATCAACCTCACTTTCTCCTTCTTCCCAACCCACTTGCTCAAGGTATAATAACATGACTGAGAAGATTGGTCATGAAATAGGTCAATTGATTAGCATTCAGAGACCGATTTGAGTCCTTCATTCACCTAAATATTCCACCAGCTCCAAGGCTCCAGGTTCAATAATTTCCTTAAATAAACCCTTCTCACATGAACTGGGGTTGGGAGTAAAGTTGGGAACAGTTCAAAGAGGGGATTAAATACTGACTCCCAGGATTTACCAATCAATACAATGTCATCTTAAAAAAAAATGCATTCCCATCTTAGTAGAATAATATCATCTTTAATAATAATTCTGACAGTAGTTCTCTTTGGGTGCTCTACATTTGCATAGAACTTCTTATTTAACACTGATAACAATCTTATGAGGTGGACTAGCCAAATTTTATTGTCTAGTTTTACAAATGAGGATACTGAGTCACACAGAGCTTAATGACAGTCCCATCTCACCTAATTCAATGTCCGACTAGTGATCAAAGTTAAATGTGGTATGAAATAAAATCTGGTTTCTACCTGCCCTATACACAGTATTTCTCATAGAATTATAACCTTTGAAGGTTTTTAAAATCAGGACTTCCCCAAACCTCACTGAGGTAAGTCAATATCCCTGTCCCATTTTTAAAAGCGAAAGCAGCTGCATTTGTGAGAGTAAGAAAATGTACTCACAGTGGATTTGGTTAAAAAGAAAACCTCATTTGTGTAGATTCCTTACATCATATCAGTTTTACTTCTGATTATGGATTCATAGCATTTGCCATTTTTAAGATTCGTATAATTTAGCTAAACAATTAAAAAAGGATCCACGTGCTTTTTCTATCTCAATATAGTAAAAAATGCATTCAGGTTAATACTCACTTTTCCAATTTCTATTAGGTAGTAGCAAGTTATTTTCAAATACTACATATCATTAGAGTGAAGTTTTATTTACATTTTTGCTGGCATATGTAACTGGTTTGAAATTGAGTATCACGTGGATTGATGTATTTGACATAAACAGTCTTCTTGGAGACATTTCCTCTCTACAAATTCTAGTAAAGATAATGCCCGGAAAGGTCTTTGAAAGATTAATCTCAGGCTCTAGATAGATGGTAGGAGAATCAGTCATTTATCCTCTGGAGGGTCATTGTCTCTGGAATCTCTTTCATCCAACATAACCCTGCTTTATCCACATTCATCTCTGGCTGAGACAAAATTGCAGCATACCCACACCAGAGTGATGTGAACACAGTCACCAATTGCCATTTACCAAACACTAAATCTGCAAGGAGTTCTATGAAACTGATATTTTTTACCATGAGAACAGAATCCTAGTTTCTTAAGCAGCTTTATTTAGGTCTTTGCATGTCACAAAATCTACTTGTTTTAAGTGTGTACTAGAATGATTTTCATAAATTTATAGCCATGTGACCATCACTACACTCTGATTACAGAACATTTCTATCACCCCGCGAATACTCCTAGATTTTTAAATTTGTTAAACCACAATCATAAATAAATGATTCTTATTTAAGAATATAATGTAAAAACACTATTATAAATGTTCTAATGTTATTTGTAAATTAGAAATAAGAAATAAATGAAAAATAAACATGATTTCTCAATATTGAAAAAAATGTTCTAATGTGAAGCTATGATTTAACTTGTAATTTTTGTAGTCAGAGTAATATCCTGGTATATCAGTTATCACTGAGTTGAAAAATTTGGGGGTAAAATGTGGTTGTTGTGGATTTTTTTTAAACCATAGAGATGGTTGAAATTTTAACTGAATCACTTTTATGTTGCATAACTTGCTCAAGTTGAGCAAGATTTTCCTACAAAAAGAAAAAGAAAATATTTTAAAATTCATCTCCCTACCAATTACAAGTTGATCTTTAATCATTCTGAGAAATGAGATTGTTTCTTATTATGATCACTGAAGAGCTATAGGGCTTGGAATCTATTTAGATCAATACTCAAGTCAGAAAGAACAAGACCAGTTGCTCAACTGAAACAACTATTTGCAATGGCAGTCTATATATCAGCACCAAAATTGGAAATGCCACCCTTCAAGAAAAAGATCATCAATCCAAGAGTCTTTCTCAAATCAGGCAA